GGGGGTCTGTGCTGAGCGACCTCCCTGTGGGGAGAAGCTGAGCTGGGGGGGACCAGGCCATGCTGCGAAGCACTGGAAAGAGGAGTCTGGGAGTGACTCTGGGGCTGTGGGAGCACCGGGTCACATAGGGACAAGAGGACCGGTGCTGTGGGGATGCAGCTGATGTGGCCGTTGTGTCTGGTGCCGGCCTGGGGAAGGGTCTCAGCCTGGGGAAGGGTCTCAGCCTGGGGAAGGGTCTCAGCGTCCCTGCAGGCAGAGGAGTGGGGCAAGGCCGGAGGGTGATCTGCCAGTGCTGGCGCTCCCTTGTGTCACGCTGAGCTGGGTTACAAGCGGCGCTTTGCAAATAAAGGATTCAAGACGCCTGATGGGAAGCGGCAGTGAGTTTTGCTGTGCAGCTCATTTTTCCGGAAGATTTCGTGTTGCCCATCCTGCACACAGCCCCTGCTCCGCTGGGGAGAGCTGTTGGGGTCAGCAGCAAGTTGCCTCTTGCTTTTGACTTATGGCGTGGGTTTGTCACTCTAAGGCACAAATTGCTGTCACCCCCCACCCCCCCAGCTTTCCTAGGTGCTCCACTCACCACACTGAAATTGCGTGTGTGTGTGGGGTGGGGGTGGGAAAAGCACATGAAAGTGGCTGAGGAGTTGGGTTTAAAGTGGAAACCGAATGTGGCTGTTCCTATCTTTGCTCTTTGTAGTGATGCGGAAATGGTGGAGTGGGGTTTTGCTTCAGTTTGAAATATTCATTGTGTGGATGAGACAAGTTTTGCAGCTTCTTGTTGATTGCGGGGGAGAGGAGTGCGTGTTCCCTGCTGCTATGCAACCTTTAATCCAGACACAAAGAAGGCAAGTCATGATGAACGCATTTCCCTGGCTCTTCAAAGCAAAAAGCAGCCAGGCCTGCTTGGGGGAAAAAAAAAAAAAAAAGAAATCACGGGGGAGCGATCAGACAGACTGATGTAACCGTGTTGTGTTTTATTTGGAGGATGTTGCTGTTGGGTACATCAGATAACGTGCAGGCCATCTTTAGGGAGGGGTATCCACGCCTGACCCAGCCCTGGCACCCCTTCTGCCTGCTCTCCTTGCCCACTACCAGCCCTTGGTGCTTGGCAAAGCCTCCCGAAGCTCTCCCCTGCTCCTCAAGCCCGTCACCGATGACAAATAGCTTCTAACGCTTTCCTTGTGTAAACTAATGCTGCCGCCCCCCGGCCCCTGCCTCGCCGGTTCGCCCTGCCCACGGCGGAGCTGGTTCAGGGCACGCTTACGTGGCCTGGCCGGGAGGCAGAAGGCTGGGCAGGAGTGATGTGTGCGCTGCCTCCAGCTCCCCAGTGCCTGCCAGCCGGGCTCACCGCTG